CCCCCCCGTCTCCTCCCCACTTCCCTTCTTTTGGATCTTGAACTCTATCTTTTTGTGGTCACTGTCATCCAAGTTTCTTCACATTTTCCACCAATTCCTCCCCGCTTGTGAGCAGCAAGTCAAGAAGAGCTTCCCCCAAGTGGCCTCTCCGTCACCTGTACCAAAATGTTATCCTTAGCATGCTCCAAGAATTTGCTGGACTGTGTAGAAAGTTAATGTGGAATGTCAATATGTTGAGAGCATACCATCGTAATCTTGAGATTCCTCCAAAATGCTGAGTACCTGGAAAGAAGTGGATAACAGTGTCAAGTGTTTAGATTTCCCTGATGTGTTTGCTAGTGGTTAAGCACTGAATTTGATACAAAATTCTTCTATAAAGCACAACATGTTTTACATCTTAGTGTAGCTTGATAACTTCACAGATTGTGCTGAACTGTAGGAAGTGATTATTCTAATTTATAGTAAAATGTAAGGAAGAACCACGTTTTAAAAATTCACTTCTAGTCTTTATCTGCATCCTCTGTTGTCTCTGTTTCAGAACGGATGCAAAATACTCACCTGAATCCAAGAGTGACATTACTTCTGGGCTAGGATTTGAGCTGTGGTTTAGCTTTGAATCCTTCAAATAATGTTTTTGATGATGGTTTTGCATTAATTTCTGTGCAAAGGGCAGCACTTAGATGAGCTGTTCAAGGGATTAGATTGATTCCTTTGCACCATGGGAATAAGTATCTGTACCAGTCTGTACATCAAGCCCAGCTTATTTTTCTTGGCACTCTAGGGCAGGGGCAGGCAACGTCCGGCCCATGGGCTAGATTGGGACCGTAGCAGACTCCATTTCCCAGTAGTCCCTGCCTCTGTTGCTGTGGCTGGTTTCCACAGAGACCCCAGGAGCTGTGGAGCTGTGGCAGTGTGGGGCCAGGGTTTCCATGGAGACCAGCCTCAGCAGCTGGCAGCGTGTGTGACAGGGTGGGGAGTTGCCAAAATGGCAGGGTGGGGAACTGCCATTTTGCTCACTCCTGTTGTTGTAACTCCTTACAAGCCCAAATCATCCACAAGTGCAGAAGAGGGATAAGGCAGTGGTCTGACAGAGTTTAGTGTCTCTAGGAAGCAGGATTTTTTATGACTTCTTCCTCTATCACTTATATGGGCATGTAAAGTAGCTTGCAAATAAACCAATTACATTTAAAGCATCTTAACTTTTATCAAAGGTATTTTCTTTTCCAGTTATAACACTTCAATCTAATTCATATGCCAAAAACCTTATCAAACTTGAATGAGTGGACAGAGAGCATTTAGAGCTAAGCATACAGCGTCAACTATACTGGAATGTGCTCTTCCATAATTCAGTCAAGTCTCAACAAGTCATTTGGAGCATGCTGCTTGGGGGGGGGCATGCTTGCATATGATTAAACTGAACGGTAGGTATAACTACACAAGCAAGTTATGTGAGGCAAACTGGAGTGTGAATTTATGTGTTTAAAACTACAGTAAATTTTCCTATTCTGTGGCAAATGTCAACAATCCCTGACTGTTCCTTAAAATCTCCAGTGATATGATTTCACATCCTCCCTGGGTAACCTGTTCTTGCCTCATTATCCTTATAGCTGTATATTAGGAAAAATGTAACTTTCTAACTTAGGTCTTTTGGTTGCAAACTAAGCGAGTTACTTGTCCTATCCCAGTGAGCATAGAGACCAATGAATTTTATTAGCTATCCCTTGATACGAGGATGATGTCTGCCGGTAGAGGCATGAGGGTATTACTGGTGAGTTTTAAGGTGGCTAAGGAGCCCATTCCATGCTCTGCAAGTTTTTACACAGATATGACAAGTGGTACCTTGGGGGGACACAAATGTTGGCCAGGATGATGTGTGCTTTCCTTTGTCCTCTGCCATTTCTCAGCTTCCTGAGCAAGACAGTTCTCTTCGAAGTGGTCTGTAGCTTGATGGATGATGTGGTGCCACCGAGACCTGTTACCAGCCAGCACTTCCCAATTTGTAGTGTTGATGCCATCTTTCTTAAGGTGTGTTTTCAGGGTAGTTCTTGCTCTGTCCTCCATGGGTCCTCTTACCATAACTAAGTTGAGAGAAGAGGACTTGCTTTGGGAGAGGTGTGTTAGCCACCTGCACACAGCCCAGTGGAGTTGATGTTTCATGATCTTTGCCTCAGTGCTGGTTATGTTAGCTGCAGAGAGCATGCAAGCATTGGTGCAGTGGCCTTCCCATCTAATGTGAAGGATCTTCAGTGGATAACAATCTTCACACAGGTAAATTTCCTTTTAGAGTGCATATATGCACATGGTGTTTCCTGCCTGACTGCACTCCTGCTGCTCCCCCCAGCCCCTTGCAGGCTGGAAATCTGCCAGTCTGCAGCGAGTTCTTTGCAAAAGTGGAAAATCCATGTGTTTCTCCATTCAAATGAAAAATCTGTGTTTTTCATGGTTAAAAGGAAAAATCCATGTTCTTTTTCCATTTTTCTGTAGGCAACAGAAAACCCATATCCCTGAATATTTGCTATTTTAGGTGTTCCCAGTGGTCAGCTCAGTGCAGAACTCATGAAAGCAATGTTATTTTATCACCATCAGCAATCCGAATGGAAATGTTGGTTGATACATATCAAGAGTTGATCCTTGGAAAAGAAGTTATTAGTTTTTTGCTTTGTACAGCAGATACTCTGCTTTGGCAAGAATGAAAGGGCCAGTTAAGAAAAGGTCTGAGGGCATCCTTTTCTTTTTCTTGGTAAGGCCATCTAAATTAGTTTGTGTCCTAAAGATAAACAGTTTATACTACAGAGTATCCTCTTGAGCAAAACAAAATTTAGAGAAAGGAGATGAACTCTATCAGGAATACGGAAATCCCTACATCATCCCTTCAGTTTGCAAAAAGCCAGATACTATATGTTATATGTAATTATATGTAATTATAACTAATAGGTTAAAGCTGTACTTACCAAACAAGGATATCCGTGGTGAAGCTCACAGCATGGTTTATTAATGTTATAAATCTTTTGACCTAAAATGAAGAATTTCCTAGTATGTTTTGTTTTCTGGTGTTTTGTTTGCTTGCAATGTAGTTCTTCTGAAGACATACTTAAACTTTTTCAGTTCACAAAGGGACATTCTCAAGTCTTCCATATCCTAAATTTCACTAACTCGCAAGGTTATTTTTATACAGCCATACTTATTTTCCTAATGTGGAAATTGCATAATTATCCACAGGTGTATGCAATGTAAATAAAATCTCAGCTTTATAACCTCATGATAATTAAAAAGTTTTACTTTGTTTTGTAATAACAGGTACATTCTGCATCCATAAAAAATGCATTTGTGCATGCTATTGTTACCCTTGTCCCTTTCCCCCCTCCTTCCCACTCCTAAGTAAATGTGTTCTAAGAGGGATAAACTGTGAGAGAATGCATAAAATAGGTATGAATTGGTCAAACTTATATTAATTTAGACGCCTAGAAAGCTATGGTGATATAATTATTGTTTCCCTTTCTCACATCGCTGTCTTGCCTCTGACACCAGATTCTAATTGTAACTTGCTTTTCTCACATGTACATGAATCTTGGAACAAATATGGCCATAAATGGCATGGTGGCTATCTAATGTCCAGTTCCTAGGAAGCAACTCTACACCAAGAATTGATTTTAGCAAACTTTTCTTGCTTCTTTGAAAAGAACTTGGCAGACTGTGTTTATAACATCCTGACATCTACCATAAATTTTAGCATGGGGAAGCTTAAAAAAAAAGCAGGACTTAAACATTCACTTTCCAGAGCCACTTTTTAGACCCAAACGTAAGTGAGGAAGTTGGTGTTAGTAGGAATCCTATGTATACCTTTTTATACACCTGCTTTAATTTTCCCCAGTGTCCAGAGTTAATAACAACAGTAACAAAGCTTATGATACTATATATGAAACTAAGGCAGTGCCTCCCAGTAATTTCCTCCTCCTTGCCTGTGCTTAGTAATACATAATATGACAAAAGTCTGCAATTCATCATGATGTGCATGGAACTTCATAATATTTGTCTCTTAATATGCTCCTGTTCCATTTAATAGGTGAATTAAGACCTTGGGATCTTCTGATTTGCTTGTCTTCTAGTAAAGCCAATGATACAAACTGCTTTCAGATGGATGACTTGCATCAATTAGAGCTATTCCAGAAGGTACAGTATTAATGTGTCATTTCCTGTTTGAACTAGCCCATATTTTCAGTACCCACTTTAAATGTGTTGATTTTTGGGGTCTTAAAAGTAAGTTAATTAAACTCTAAAGAATGGGCATGTTTCCATAATTACCACCCACCAAGGAACATTTTTCATATGTCATATGTATGTTCTTAAGAATATCCTGTTATCCTATTTGGAAATCAGAGCACTTTATGATTCCTTATAATTTGCATGTAATTTAATCTCTTTAGTGTTTATAGAAATTGAAAATTTGTTGCCTATGGGTGCTATGCTTTTGTTTTGGTCTAATTTGGTCCTCTGGAATCAATCACCCACAATCAGAATTCTGCTGCTGTGTATCAAAGGAACTATAGCAGTTGCATCAGACTTAAAGAAAAATATCTTTGAGACAAAATAATTTGTGAATGAAAAGAAAAACAAATTGGAAATTCACCCAGAATTTTTAGAATTGGGACCACCTCAGCCCAAGTTAAGAGAGGGGTTTGTGGCCCATGCCACGTCTGAATTGACTGTAGACCTGTATGTCCTTAACTGCCCCTTGCTTTCCTAAACATTGCCCAATACAGGCACAATTTAAGTAACATGGACATCAAAAGAACTTGATCAAATATCTGACTTGCAGGTACAAACAATTAAACAACTTAAATTGTGCACAGTTATTTACATGTCCAAAACTGTATATATCAAAATAGCTTGTAATTTAAAAAAAATGCACACATACTAATTGCAGATACTAAATTATACTCTCATAACTGAAGGTTCAGAGTAAAAGTGATAGGAATTGTTACCTATTTATTATTCAATAGGGCTGTGTGAAATTTCGCCGGCTATTTCATTTTGACACTGTTTTGACTTGTTTCGAGCTCAAAATAGCGAAATCTAAATGAAGGCCTTTGAAATAGCCTCAAAATGAAATGAGGGCACTCGAATGTTTTGAGCTTCAAAATGTTTTGAGTTTTGAAGCTGAAGCTAAGTTTGCCTTTAGGGAAACAGAAAGTAGGGAAGAGGGGGGAAGGACTGCTCTGATATTGACTGTGACTGGCTGCCTGAGATGCTGCTGGTGCTACTGTGCTGCTGACTAAGTTATTACCTGTTGTCATCTAAAGTGGTGGACTGGACTGAAGCTGTAGGGGAGAAGGAGACCTCACTGGAGCACACTACCATGTCATGTAGAGGGCGTGCCTTAACACACACACAGTCATACACATCACAAGTTTTCCTTAGTAGCAGCTTGAGGTGCAGGTTCCCAGAAACCCCTGCACTTATCTCCTTGAAAGTTGGCAGGCTTCATGCCCTCAGAAGGGCCTACCACCCCTGCTATTTTCATCCAAATCTGCCAAAAAATGACAAAATTATAGGTAGTTTCATGCTTCCCCATTATAGCTTATGGGCAAAACGTTGAAACAGCATTGAAACAGCAAAACAGTTTTGACGAAACAAAATGGAACAGTGCTTTGAAATTAAATGAAACTCAAAATGAAACACTGTCCCATCAAAATGGCAAAAAGGAAGTTGAAATGAAACAGTGATGTTTCTCACAGCTCTATTATTCAACAGTGTTACGGTACCCCGTGGAAACTTTCATGAGGTAGGAGTTCCATGGAACCCTACTTCCCTCCCTGGAGTTCATCCTAGGTCTGTCCACCATCCTGAACTCCAGACTGGATCTGGCAGGCAGCCTGACGCAAGGGTAGGGAGCCATACATCTGTATTTCCAAACCCTTATTTTCTCAGATTTCCAGTTTTCAGGACATTTAAAACATACTTGTTTTCCTTCTCATTAAAAAAAAAAAATCCTTTGAGCATCAAACCTTGTTTTCTGGTCAGCCCCATCCCATGTTGTACTATTTGAACCCTTCAGGATCTTTAATGTATTAATCCTCACAATACCTTGTGATGTAGCCAAGTGCTATTAGCTCTACGTCACAGGTAGGGAACTGAGGCATGGAAGGACCCAAGGGGTTTACCTCCGGCTATGCTAGGGGTGGGCAAAATATGGCCCACAGGCTGGATTCAACCTACCAAGGAATTTTGTTTGGCCTGTGGTAGGTCCCTTGGTCCTGCCTGGCCCAGGTGCAGGGGACAGTTTGGGCCGTGGCATGTGTGGCCGGCCCTGCCACACATGGGTGCACAGCAGGGCTGGGGTGGTGTGACAGCTAGACTTGCTTTCCAGCAGCCCCTGGCACCAGCATCTCTTTCTGGTTACTGCAGCTGCCAGTCCCAGTCGTGCTACCCGGGCACCACTGGTGGCAGGACCCACATGGGTGAGGTTTGTAGCAGGGCACTAAGGTGCCTGCTACTTGAAAAGCAGCAGTATGGGCTCAGGTGCTGGTTGCTAGAGGCAACCAGGAGGAGCTAAGGGCCCACACTTTGTGAGTCATCTGACCGGAAGGGGCAGGGCTGACTACTATAAGACACAGACTGGAGGCTGTGAGTGCTTCTCTCAACTGGCAGCCAGAAAGAAGGAGTACTGCTTGACTAAGGAAAAGAGCTCGGCCCTGAATGTGGGAAAGAGAAAAGGCCTGGATGTACCAGTCGCTAGTTACATGGGTGAGAGGGGTGGTGTGATTTGGAGAACGTTTAGCCATGAGGTTTAGCTTTGTGTTATAGCTCAAGGGCTTGTGTTATTGTTTTTTTGTTGTTGTTACACTGGAGGACCGGGTGAGGCTATTGGGGGTTGGAGGAGGCCTCATAGGGGCTCCACGGTAGTGTGGGGACCCCGGTGCCAGAGAGGGCGCAACATTCAGGGGTGCACTGACCCCAGCCCTGAGAAGGGGAGCAGAGGATTGGGGGCCAGGTAAGGCCAAGGCCGCCTGAGCCCCATAGGAGGTTTTAGACCCGAGGGGATTTGGGGGCCAGGCACGGCTACGGCCACCTGAGCCCCAAGTGCGAGAAGCCCCAGAGCAGGCCGTGCGAGAAGCCCCGGAGCGGGGGCGGAGATTGTTGATGAGTGCCAGGGAGCACGGTTGTGAGGCAAGCCAGAAGCACCAGTGGGGCGCAGGAGAGTGAAATCGACCAAACACCATCCGGTACATCTGCGAGGCTTGGGGCGTGGTACAGGGTTGATTGGAGCCACGCATACCCCATAAGGTTCGGGTGTACCGAGTCACCCAAAATAGAACTGAGACTGAGATACATGGGAGCACCGTGTCAGAAGGGACAGAAGGCAGCCTCCCTTATACATAGTCGACATCAAAGGCATGGCGGGCAAGATGTGAGGGTGCTTTAACACCACCTTGGCACAGTAGGGGGCACTAGGGGAGATCACAGCCACCCCTAGGACTCCACCCTGTTACAAGGTGCATGGCTGGGTGTAGGGGTTGGGGAGCAGCATCTAGGAGTGGGAGGGGCAAAGGGGCCGGGGTCACAGTGTGGTGATAGTGTGGTACCAGGACCTGGGGCATAGTCATGATCCACTGCCCTGCATGCTTCTGCGTCAGGCGCTGGTTCCGCAGGCAGAGACATGCAGGGAGCAGATCATGGCTCTGCCCCAGGCCCCAGTCCTATGCTGTCACTGTCTCACCCAAGATCCCGGCCCCAGCCCTGCCTGCTCATCCTGTTACTGGATGCAGGTCCCCACCCTCCCATAGCTTCATCCTGTCTGCCCGGCCATGTGCCCTGGCTGGTCTCCATAGAGACCCTGAGATTGTGGAGCAGTAACAGCGCAGGGCCGGGGCCTGAAGTAGGGCTACAATTTGTCCTCTTATGCCCCTGACCACAGACTTGGCACTTGTTTCAGTGGTGTGCAGGGAGTGGATAATAGCTGTGCACCAAGCCCTGGCCCTATGCTGTCACTTTTGCAAACCCAGACCTGGTCTCACCCACCTGTGCTGCTCCCAGGTGCCCCTCTTCCCTCCACTGCTCCCCTGCCTGCCCATCGCCCTATCTCCACTGCCTGGCCTAGTGTGGAGCAGAGTCGCTTAGGGAGATTTGGTGAGCTGTTTGTGGGGAGGTGGGGACAGGACTGCTGATCTGGCATGCAGTAGCTCACCAAAACTCCTTAAGTGGCATTCGGGCCAGTCTGTGGCACAGCAGATCCTCAGACCAGATCATGCACATTGTGGTATTAGACCCTAAAATTGGAACTGTTGTTGCTCTGTGCATTTTTTTTCCCTGTGTTGTGAATGAGAATGATTGGTAGATGAGTAGAGAAAGAAGCTATGGAGACTGAAAAAGAGAGATTAAAAAACTCCAGTAAGCAGGAGAAGGAACAGCTATTTGATGGCCATGAAGAAAGACTGCCTAAATCAGTCCTTTCTCCAGGTCACAGGTTGTGGCAAGGAGTTATAAGAACATAACAGCACTTCCATGCCTGAGTTGTCCCTGACAAATTATACACGAAATTGTGCTAACCTCCTAAAAGAACATGAACTTACCAATTAGGTTGCTAACATTTCTTTTTATTCTTTTCAGGTAAATACAATCCCAGAAATTCAACATTTGCTTTGCAGAAAAGAAGGATTATGCCAGATAATTAGAAAATTTCCAGGTAATCCTTTATTTCTTTTAAAATTTGCATATATGTTGAAGGTGCTTTGATTTTCTTAGAAGTGAGACTAATGCAAAAGTGTGTTGGAATGTGAAGTTTCATGCTTCTGGTATAAGTATTATTTAGACACTAATTAAACCAGTACAAGAGTATTTGTCTGTTTTGCACATCTCTTAAAAGTGAATTGCATTTATTAGAGGCTTTGTCTATGGGCAGAGCTATAATTTTGAAAAGGGGGATGCAGGTGGTGAGGTGCATGATCACATAAAACCACATTTTCTCCACCTAAAAATAAACTAGGAACTTTATTAAATATATTAGGGGCCTAGGGCTAGATTATTCAGTTTAATATTGAAGCAAAAAAATATAACTTCATTGGAGTGAGTTAAAAACAATCTGCGGGGCTGTGAAATAGAAGCTTCAGGAATAGCTAACAGATAGCAGAATTGCAGAAAAAAGGTAGCTTGGTCAGTAGACCATCAAGACCATTAAAAAGAAGAGAGGGTCATTAATACCTGTGGAATGAAAAGTTTAGGTAAGTAACTACAAAGTAAATTGACTCTGTCAGCATGGCCTCACTAGAAATGCTGCTGCCACTTGTCAGGGAGTTGGTTATTAAACTTTGGGTAGACCAGGAATCAAAGGTGCATACAAGTGTACCAGTGCAGTCTCCCTATATCCACCCCTAACTGTATCTAAACTGCCTTCCAGTTAAACCCACTATCACTCCTGAGGAAGTAAGCCCTGGACTCCAGGTGCACTCAGGCTCTTCAGTCAGACAGTGGAGATGGTCAGAGCAGGTCCAAATATGCTACCCAACATAGCTCTCAGGGTTTTCGAAGGCAAAGAACTGGAGAGCAACACTAGTTTTTGCACCCAAGGCTACGCTGAACCATCTCTGCTGATTATTTGCTGGCTTTTTGTGTGGGAGTCTGTGGGTAGAGCTTATTTTCTTGGCAGCAGTCCTAGGCTTGGCACGGAGGTATTATAGATGAGGCCATAGTAGCCTTTTGACTAAAGATATTGCATTACTTAACTGGAGCATACTGGGGAAATTTGATGCTTCTAGGATACAAAATATAGTGTGTTAATATCATGTATTCATGGTGAAATCCTTAGTTCAATGCTGTAAGTTTATCCAGCTTTACAAAAATGTTGTGGCATGGAGGAGGAGTAGGAGTTGGAGCTTGGTTTCTGTCCAGACATAGTTTACTGATAAAAAGCCTTTGTATATTAAGTTCATCAACCAGAGAAGTTAAAGGTTCTGGGCCTGTTGCCAGAGAATCATAATTTACTATGGTTAAAATTTAGCCCAGTGTTAAGGGGCTTCAAAAAGCCCTATGCACTGTTTTAAGCACTAGTTAAACCCCATGGAACTGGATTCAGAGCTCAGTTATACCAGGGAATGCCCAACATTATTGCTGCTCTTCTGGATGTACACAATGTAATTGATATCACACTCAGTTCTTTTGCTGAGTTCATGTTTGTGTTTTCAGTGACACAGTGCTTTGTGTGGGTTCTTGCATTGGGATGTGAACTGGAGGCTATCCTGATTACAAACTAGATCTTGGACAGTCAGAATACACCTGTAAAAGTGTCAAGTATTTTAGGATTTGAAAATTAATATTCATTTTGTAATAGTTTCCCTTCGAAACAGTTCGGTCTGTTCCATTTGGTCCACTATGTTGTACTATTTGGAGAAAGGCCAATTAAAACTGTGTTCTTGCTTTGCTACCACAAAACCACAAGCACAGGAAGCACTCCACGCACAGAGAGATTTCCCCCTCACACATGTACTTTTTCATTGGTGTTCATAAATTGTGGTATCAACCACTCTCATACTACATTCAACTAGTGTGGTAAACTGGCCAGTGTTTTGCTTCTCTTACAGGTACCATATTGGTCCCTTTTCCGTGTTGTTTGATTATTAGACGCCGAAGTCCCATTGAAAATGTTAGGTATTGTGGGTGTTCAGGAGTCAGGTCCCTACATCAGTATCTGAGGATGAAATAAACCTGAGGAGGTGTTCAATACTCAAGTGGCATACATTAAGTTTTGTATAAGAAGGTTTTTGCCAAGACTGAAAACAAAACAAAAAACCCATGAAACATGTTTAATCTGTGAGTTTTTTTACTTTAAACATTGCCCTGCAATTCTGGAAACCAAACACAACAGCACTGCACTTGTGCATGAGATTCAGAAACTGAACCCAATCCAATCATTTGGATTTAGTGGTCAAAAGGAGTGAAAGACATGAAATAAACCAACAGCATAAATAGTGACAATAGACTCCCCATCCTAGGGTGGTGTTATAATTTACTGTTAAACAGTCATAAAGGCATGTAAAACAGGGGCATTTACCTATTAAAGGGTGTTAACCTGTGTTAAGAACTCTCTAAATGTTTTAAAGTTATGCCAATTCAAACAAGGGTTATAGTTTCATAGTTTCTAGGGTCGGAAGGGACCTGAGCAGATCATCTAGTCCGACCCCCTGCCATGGCAGGAAGAGCACTGGGGTCAAT